GCACTTGTGAAACACTTGAACCATGACTTGAATTAATTTGAATATGCAATTGAGAACAATGTCAATGTTCTCTTTATTTAATTTCGCATTATTACTATTAGGCAAATATTCCAAACTCGCCCTAGCCCTTAGAAGAATGATAAAAAATTTGAAACAAAACCTCTTGCAACATGTTAAAATACTTAATAATATTATAATTATACATTACTTTTCAGACTTTTTTACTTGATGTATTTCCCAATTTATTCAAAGTGTTAATAATGTGGGCAACTCAGCAGGCCACCGAGTTGTTTTCAAAATTTGACAGACTTGTTGCTGAATGATTTATATCGTGTAATTTAAGGTTCGATATAAAAAGTAAGCTTTTAATGCATTTGCCATTTACATAAATAATTATTGCTTCATAAATCACGTACGTTGAACTAACGTACTTAACTTAAGACGTACCGCCGAAACTAAATATCATGCATGCAGATATAAATTCACTGGAAGCCTGACAACCTACGAAAGTTGAGCATCTGATACGCACCTATAGGCCGGAATATACTGATGGAATATTGATTATTGGATAGACAACAAGAATAAATGTAAGCTATATAAAAAGTCCCAACATATGAGAAAGATACTGTCTCTTTCCGAACTGTCTCTGCGTTTTACAATTAGCAATCGTAAACAAACAGAAATTCCTGGCAACGCCTAAAATTCGTGATCATGAAAAGATGTACGAAAATCAGTAGAATGCATTACAAAATACAGAGCGTTCAACAAGCGCATTTAGTAACAAGCAAGACCAGCCTTGACATCATATATTAAAGAAGATTAAAAGTCTATTTAAAATTCCGAGCACAACGTTAGTTACGGTAAATATATGCAAGATGAGCATCACTCATCAGAATGTTTTTGAAGTACAGCTCAGCTGTATTAACATTGACATTGTACCAAAACAAAATGTTACATAAAGAAAATTTATACTTATAGGCGCCATAGCGAAAGAGGCATGTGTTTGGTTCGGGGTTTATTTAATTATGTCTATAGCATTAATTAAATAATACTTGAAAGTCTCACGAAACGCCATCGCTGCATCAAGTAACGCCTCAGACAAAGCCTGTTTCAAAACGTTTTTAAATATCAGGTATGACGTCTTTGCTTACCTGAATTCTTGAGAAATGTCGGATTCGATGTTGCAAATACTTTAAGTCAGATAACCGTTGGCGTTGCTAGTTAAGACAAGTTGTAACTATCTCAGGAATCAGAATGACGCTTTCTTCCGGCTCCCTGCATCTTAAATCCTATGATACGAGATTAATCGTATGTAAATTATTTAGTAGAATTAAGACACGTACTAAAGCACTCTGAGTCTAAGATGTCTCGCTTGCTTTCGCTAGAGCACATAACTCGTAAGCCCAAGACTCAAGAGGCAAAATATCATGCCAAAAATCAAAATATATTTTCAAATGTCGCGTCTACGCAAGTATAAATCAAGCTTCTTTCAATAACGTTGCAAAAAACAAATTATTGAAAAGCGTCAAAGAATGATTGAAGGATATTGTTTTGATTTTATATCATATATGGCACGGCATATGGCTATTTGACAATTAAGGCCTGCATTAAACTGTTAAAATATGAATAACTATATAACGAAGCAGGCCTGATAAGTGATAACGAAGTTAAGATTAGCTTTCTTAGTGACATATTACATGCCACATGGTAAATGAACACTATACCATCACTCATCAGTTAATACGACGTATTTAGTTTACAAGTAAAACTAAAATAGTTTTTTTGCCTTCAGCAAGTCTCTTGCAAAGACTGCAAATAATTTAAGTCAATAACCTCATGCCGGGGGAAAACAAACACATTTTTTTCACGAAATTAACATATACGTTGGCGTATACAAAATAATTAACGCAATTTATTTTAGATAATAGATTAAAAGTAAAATATACAACTTGCACACGCACGAAGTCTAAACGACAAACGTCATATTTTCCAAGTCTTTACAAAATAAATCTATTAGTACTCAGAACATAGACAGTTATTAAAATAAACCTGCTATTTTTGAATCTACTGTAAAAACGGCTCACACTGTCACACAAACACTCTTATATTCTTCGATACAATATAAAGTTTCGTTTCCAAGCCGACGGCGCGACTACGAATATATTGTGTATTGAAAGTGTCTATATTATGTCTGAATTGCCATATTTAATTGATATATTTGGACTGAAGCCGGTCCAGAGAAAGTAATTTGTATTCCTAATAACCCAGGAATCAATACGCTGTATCTTGGCTTATATATTCATATCTCTAAGCTGCAGAGTACTAGAATCTTTGCCAGAAACTATGGGACAGCTGCTGTAGTTTCATATAGTTTGAGAGAAATAGCGCCCCCCGTTCCCCCAGTTCAATGTTGGGCCAGCAAAAATCTGATGTCTGGATGCGCGGCGCCAACATTGAAACGGGTGGGGGGAGGGAGGGTGGAAAAAATGTATCAGGAAATGGTATATTACAACCGAATGCATGTGAAAACTAGATTGTCCCAATCTAAATTGTCAAAGATTGTAGTTCAGTTGCCTATGTTTGCTAGACTGCTAATGATCTTCGAGTCTCGCCATTCAACACCTTCAGGGCATACAAGTATTTAAGTAATGCCCAGACTGCATGCGGTTCCTATATGATATAAACCTTGGTTAAACAGAAATGTGTCCAAAGTCTGTAGATGGAGAAATCTAATTTAATACATGCCAATTTATGGATGTGAACATAGACTTTCTCTTTGTTGGAAGATCAAGGAAAATAGAGACGGGAAGGGTTAATGCTTTTTAATAAAAAACAAAAATCCAATCACAATATAGACCACTTAGAGAATTACTGGAGCGTACCATGGCGTTATATATAGCACAAAGTTCGGCCATCAAAATGAAATTGACTTTCAAATGAATGGCTGAATTAATGAATTATATTATATTGTTAAGCCCGCAAGAATTGTGGGAACATTCGGACAAACAACACTTGTGACGTGAATTGGAATACATGCTATTTGATTAAACTTTATCAATGTTTGAAAATGGGTGTTTCTCATAAGAAAAAAAATTGAGGCTATTCCTGAATTATTATACACGTTTTAAACTCAACGTATAAATCTAAATTAATAAGATATTTTAAATGGAATGGAGAAAATCGGTATGGCCTAGTTGCTATAGGCAAATATAGGTATATATCTGTGTTTTGAACAGAATTAAAGTTTAGTTGGAGTGCATTATACATTTTAACCTTTTCATATAGACTATTGGAGTGTCTGTTGGACAATCCTGACTGACAACGGATACTGTCTATTTGACTAGGAAATACGATTGTTCCTGCAAACGCAACGATTAACAGTTTCTTGAGGCAGACTATAAATCAAATATAAAACAATCAGACTCACAATAAACGTCTATGGACAGACACAACATCTTTCATCAATACGGTGTATTAAACGGGCAGTGTCACGGTTCTACTACGCATCCAAAATATGCGCGAACGTGAAAAACTGTCTGCCAACACGGTTAACCGTGCTGCCAACAATTAATCAAGTTAGGAGTGAAATACGATATGCTATTTATAATCCCTTGCTTAGTTTTACAGTAAAAATTGAAGGCTGCTGCATGTTTTCCAATCATGTACCATTAATTTTAACGTTTCTTTGCGCCGTTTATTTTAGCCAATCAGCGCCGTGACACTGCCCCTTTAACCATAGTTTTTAAATAAAGACACCTTGGGCCAGAGTATATAAAACCGTAGGTAAAGTTAACTGCAGTTAGCTTTAACTACCGTAGTTAAATCCTTAACTGTAGTTAGTTAACTATACGACTTCACTGCGTTCCACAAAACATAGTTTACTCGGATAGCTAACTAATCGGCGTAGTTAATTGTGCGTGGGGCGTTTAACACAAAATTGCATAAAGTAATGAGTGATTAACGACCGCTGACAAGCATTTTCAACATGATTCTGGACTCGTATTTTGCGAATAGGCGGGAATTCGATTTGAAATAATATGATGTAAAGCTTCAATAATAATCCACCTTAAGTAAAAAAATACAGTGGACTTACAAATTCATAAACATTATAAAACCATCTATATTACAATAAAAATTTGTATTTTTAAAAAGGTTCAGTTGCCAAAGGCACAGACGACGATTATGTCCTGCAGTTCAGAGAATAGTGCAACCTACATTCATCCTAAAATTACAGAACCGTCTATTACAGTAGTAATTTAAAGTTTATTATTAAAAAGTTTAACTGCACGAGGTATAACGATGATTTATGTCTTTCGGTTCTGGAAATAATGCGACCTACATTAGAACCACTTTCTTTAGTTCTAGTGGAATAGTCATGCTTCTGTGCGATAGGGACAAGGTGGTGACAGGGATGGTTTACGTCCTGAGTAATTGCCTCCATTTCTCGACGAGTTAGCTTATCTCTTCTCTCACTAAGTGGGGGAAGTGTATCGACCGGTAAACCAATAATACGTAAGCTTCTCCTTTGAATACGCTCAAGGTCGTTCACTAAATAGTGAGGTAGGCCACCCCAAACTGGTGCGGCATATTCAAGCAGTGGACGAATTTTGGTGCAGTAAGTTGCCAATCCTACTTCAGTAGGAAGGTGAGCCTTCCTGCACTGTCTTAGATGACACAGTCTCCTGTTTCCCTTACGAGTAATTTCTTTGATGTGAGAATTCCATTTCATGTTACTTTGACAGCTAACACCAAGTAACTTGAATGAATTAACTCTTTCAATCATAACATCCCCGATATAAAGATTGGGAGGCTGTGGGATAGATTTCCCAAACCAAATCCACATATCTTTCGTTTTCTTTGCGTTCAACTTCATTCTATTAGCGTTTGGCCAGTTCTGAACGGAGTCTAAGACTTTCTGCATGTTGCTACACTCTCCCTTCATGATGCATTCGCTTTGTGTGCAGTCATCGGCATATTTATATGTGCTCCCCTCAAGATCTTCAGGATCCTTGCGGTACTCCAGCTGGGCAATCCTCGATCGATGAAAGTGTTTGATTTATCTTGACCTGCTGAGTTCTACCAGATAAGAAGCTTTTGACCCACAACCAGTAGCTTTTATTAACATTCATCAATGCAAGTTTATTCAACAGGATCCCATGATCAACTAGATCGAAGACTTTTTTAAAGTCGATAAAGAGGGCATGGATGCCTGCTTTGTCACGGCAGGTATTGTAAATAGCATTAAACCATGGCTGTGTGATGGATATCAGAGCCGATGTAGTAGAGCGGCCACTAGTAAAACCATGTTGTCTGGGACGTAGTATGTCATTTTGATTGAGTTGTAGTTGTACTCTCTCTAGGATTTTCCCAATATGTGGCAAAACAGAGATTTGTCTAAAATCGTTACTAACGTCAGTTGGTGGGTATGCTTTAGGCACAGGTGTGACCAGGCCATGTTTGTAATGACTTGGATACCTACACTGTTTAATGCTAGCCGTAATGATGTCATGTATAATCGGCGCTAGAACACCATCGGCTCCCGTTGCTTTCGAGTGGTTAAGGTGATTTAGGACGGTCTTAATCTGGCCAATACTAGGTAGAGGGGGAGGATAGTTTTTGAGAAGTGACTCAGCTTCATCTAGTTGGGGAATACTTGTAGCCTGCGTAGCAGGCGCTTTTAGGGACCTTTAGCTAGCAGGACGGCGACGGCTATTAACACAATGAAATTTATATAGTAGCAATGAAATTTATGTAGTTGATGAAACCTTCTTTGAAATCTTCTTCAGCCATTTATGATTATGTAAAAATACAACAACTGGATGATATTTGCCAGATTCGGCGATGTAAAAGCAAACAAGACGGCAAAATATGGCTGAAAATTGTATTAAAATTGGCGTTAAAATGTATTATATTTAATGAAAATAATGACAATCCTTATGAAATCCACAATAGTTATATTAAATTGAGCATAGTTTTTCACCCCATGATAATTAATTTTTTTTAGGAAATAAGAAAATTTAATTTCTGCCAGGCATATTAGTTATTTTGTGCATAATTAGCAATTTACCTGGGGTGGTGCACCCCTAAAACCAACCCTTCTGAACACTATAAGCACTTCAGAAAGGCTATTGCTTTTTCTTTTCGGAAGTTAGAGCTATGTCGACACTGCCGTTTCAGGGCGGGGTCATTTTCAGGACTTTCGTCCCTGATTCAGGTTTTGGCACATATGCCATGTTGACCGCCATGGTCATTTTACCCTAAAACAGTTGAGATTACCTGTCCTAAATGAAACGCATACAAACTCCTATACAGGTCCTAGACTATATAACATGAAAATCACGAAATCCGAGCTGTGGACATTACTTTTATTCACCGGTGAATATAAAATCGTCGAGTTACAAAGCAAAAATTATGGAATTTGCTTTTTTGTTTTCTTTGACACTTGGTATATAATATAATAATTATTGACTGGGATTTTTGGGAAAAAACTATGTTTTGTGGATCCTCGACTTGGCATGTTTCCTCGGCTTCAACTCAAGAAACATTCGGAACACAAAACATACTGTTTCCCTCGGTCCCAGTCAATAGGTGTTCATTCTAATTTACATAACCAGAAAACAACCTCGTTCCCAATCCCAGGGACCACGGGAGCAAGTTCTGGTCAAACTAGGAAACCTTGGCAGAATCATTTGAAAATTTCAATATTTCTTCTAATGTTTCCCCTGCTTGCCAGCCATTCAATTGCCGGAGTCATTGTTGCGGGAGCAAAATTTGTTTCCTGGGAAGTAAAAATGTTTTCGAAGAAATACAGAAAACTATTTTGTTTCAATAGTGTGATCATTGTTGCAGAAACAATGTTTCCTAATTTTCTTATCTTCAGCAAACATCATTAGGATGTTTCCCAATACTTCAATGTTTAACATGTTAAAAAGTTTAGGATTTCTCATTCTTTGTTCTATTCCCATTTTGAACAGTGTTTACCGTCTTTTTGTTACTCAAAGCAATATCTTTGATTTCCGCCAGTCCTTCTTCCAACCAAACCTCGATACTTTTTGCACCATCTTGCACTCCTTCCTCCACAACCTCGCCTCCCTTAGTTAACTGCTTGACAACCGAACCTTGATACTGTATCAGCTTCACGTGATCAGCAGGTGACATATAGTCTGCCAAACACGTGATAATATGTGGTACACATTTACCAGGCACGTGAATCATGCAACCAGTGTGATATTGAAATAGTATAACCGCTGCTAGATGTAGACCCATTGCAGGCTCAGTTTCATGTCTCAGTTGCTCCAGTAAGTTTTGACGATGTTCAGCGAGAAGACTCCTAGAATGAAAAAAATGTTATATGTCCAGGGTAAAATCCGTTATATGTGTTTCACGCCAGACTTTATTCCACGCTTGCATGCAGAAATACTAACAGCATAATATTAATTGTTATATATAGCTAGGGTGAACACCAAACGTGATTGGTTGATTTGTGGTCACGTGACTTCAGCTAAATGCAATGTATCCCGCCGGGCAACAAGTGAAAAATTGTTGCCCGCCCCAACCGGCTACGTACATATATAAACAAAATGGCGGCACAACTGGCATAATTAGAAACTACGATTTTCCAAGTTTGTGTTCAAATAAAGAATGTAAAAGAGAAGAAAAATACACAACAGGCAACAGCAGGATATGCTGCTGAAACCGTTTAATAAGTAGGTTCTTTTAATTTTAAATTCGTTTACACTATAGAGTTTTTGTCACAAAATACAATTGTTGTATGAATGTTGTTGAATGTTGATTTTTGTTCGGGAAACATTGAGACTCTCGGGAAAACAAAACAAACTATTTCCCTCGGGAGCAGACATTAAAGGGGGGGGGGGGGGG